CCCCACCCCCCGCCCATCCTCATGGCCTCGAAACCGCCCAATTTGGGCAACTGTTACCTCTCCAGGGTTCATGTATTTCAGTTAATAATGGGGAATTAGTTTCAGGACCTATGAAATGTAAATTCCTAAATCTTCACACACTTGAAAAGGAATTCTATGAAGAGTCTTGTCCCGAAAAACAATTTCCTATGAAATATCTATATGTAGAATTGAATTCTGAAACATATATATTGCTTCAAGTAAGAGGCATTTCAAAAAGGTCTTCAATATTTTGTTCCATTTTATTTTACTAGTATATAAACAGAAATGAGAGTAATATTGTTGTCCAGTGAACACTAAAATTAAAGTGATTTTCATGATCCTCTCAAAAGATGTTGATTTCATAATATAGTTTTCACTTAGTCTCATTGAAGTATCTCAGAATTGTGTGATTATGGTTGTATTTAATATATGAATTTTTGATTATAGTGGATTCTCTGTAATTATATAATCTTGCAGATACTATATTAATAATAGGAAGTGTAGATACACCTGACTGGACTTGTTCAAATTTTAATGCACAAAATTATTTTGATCACAGAGAACAAATGTGTTTAATTGGAGAGTGAACTTATGCTTACATATATATTATTTTAGGTAAGAGTTGGGACAAAGTGCCAAGAACAACACACAATCAACTTAAAAATATGTTGAATGGTTTTCGATCTACTAACCGTGTTTTGGATAAGCAAGGAGTAGCAGATGCACATGCCCAGGCATGTGAACATCTGTCTACGGTGAGTACTTTTAGATAAATTATTATGATTAAATATTAAAGAACAAAAATAATGTAACGTGTATTTTTTATATATAAATTAATTGATATTAGTCTAGACAATTAAATTGTACAGAAATCTGTTCGTTATTTAACGTTATCTAATTTTCTTATTTGTAACAATTATGTACAGCTATATTAATACTACCTGCTTCTTTACTTGAAATGTTAATTGAATGATTTTGAAAAGATATTTCTTTCATTATCTTTGAGTAAAAATGATGAACTTGAACAATAATGTATTGAAATGGTATAGCAATGATGTCTGTATTTTTAATGAAATTAGGTGGGGTTCTTCGTGTAAAACAACACCTCTTCCTGCAAGTTAGAGCAGCGGGGTGGATGCCCACAAGAGCCTTCCCGAATATTTCAAAGTCCACAGACATGCGGTGCGCCTAAATTAGATATGCTTGATAAATGTTTGTGTGTTGTAACTTACTGTTTGGCTTTTATTATGAACATACTTTCATTTCAACTCGTGATTATTCTTGTATACATTTAATATTCATGGAAGAGAAAACTCTGTGTCAAGGAATTGAGCATGTGTCTAATTTTACACAGTTGAGAAGAGGTGTATAGAAACATATCTTCTTCAATGAGCTGAAAACTAACCAAATTTCCACAGATTGGCTTCTTATTCATTTTCATCTTGAGTAGAGTAATGAATTTGTGTGCATATCTGTGGATATCCATCATTTTCTTATAGCATGAGCATGGGTGTATGCTTTTGTAATTTTATATTCAAAAGTGGGAGCACAAGGTTAGGCATGAGTTAATGTGCGAAAATGCTCGTAATAGCGGCCCATGTAGAAATTGTGTATTTAAAATTCTGTCTTGTTGTCTAATCAAATCTTTTGAGTATCCAATTTGTATGTTTGTAATTGTCTGTGGGAAGTTAACCGTTATCAAGATATTGCTATTTGTTGAGGTGAGGTGGAGTTGTTACAATGCCTTCCTCACATTTTCAGTGCTTTTATTGGTCCTTCTGCTCATTGCTATAGATATTACAGCTATTCAGTTGTAATTTATGTATCTTGTTTGAGTGTTTAAATTTGATAAATTAAGTTGTGTCTACTGTTTTATCCTGTTTACTAATACATTAATAGTGTGTGTTCAAGCATGTGAGTGTGATATGGTTGATGCACGAGTTCATATGTTTGCTCTTGGGTGAATGTGTTTGTGCGTGAATGTACCCAGTATGGAATATACAGGAAGTGGGAGTTTAATAGAAATTAGAGTGAGTCAAGTTTATTCTGAAATAAATACATTTTTAAAACTTCACTTAAATTGTTCCTTCTGGAGTGTCTGCAAACCCTCCCCTTCAGTGTTCTAACTCTTTAGTGCTGTTGGTGTCTTCTGGTGTGCAGCTGGTTTTTGAACAATAAGAAAGATGGCTTGATTGAAGTTGTAAGCAGAAGAACTTACTACTCTATTTCCACAGAAAGTTAGGTAGTTTTGCATCTGAACCCAGGTTATACATTTTTTTGCTTGTCATTCTCCAATGCCAAAGTCTTTTTTGAAGTGATCCATCTGCAGAGTTTTGCAAACAGGGGCACAACACCACTTTTAAACAATGATAAGGGATTTTGTTAATCCCTGGCATTCCTCATCCTGAATATCTTGGCCTGAGGAAGTAATTCCAGCCGGCTTTTTTGTATTGGCCACTGGCACTTTTCACACAAATCTGCAGTTTATTTACTGTAGCAAATATGATTTCTACAACTCTGGAACAAAAATGTCTAGTTTTTCAAATGTTGCTAATTTTTTGCTTTTTTAAATTTTATTTTTATTAAATTATCTTTAACTTTTACTTATCCTTCAACTATTTGTAGTTTAACTGATGGGAAGGAATTTTGGAACTCAAGAAAATGTGGGATCTTCTCCCCAATACGTCACATACAGTTTTTACTGTTTTTTGAGTAAAACTAAATCACCTTCATAATCATCCTGACCTTATTCTTGGGAGTCATCAAACTCCTTCATTGAAGCTGCAACTTTCTGTGGCCTGACATTCGACAAGAGTGTAACATGGTGAAAACAAATTCTTAAAGTTCAGAGTCAAAGTGTACCATCTTTGAACCTCTTTCGCACCCTTACTGGTAGGTCACAGGGCACAGAGTAAGTCTCTTGCGTCTATAGAATTGTTTATGGGTCAGCATCTCTGACGTCCCTCCAGCCACTGAAAACCATTCACAATGCCAGTATATGGATCAGCATAGGTGACATACACACGAGTTGTATCGCATGCCTCTTGACCAGGACCTTCAACTATCCCTCAACCCAAGTCACAGGACATTGTAGGCACTCAGGCCATCGTTACCCCATCCTCCGAGTACCCGTCTCTACATGCTTTTGCAGAAACACATGGTAAAATTCCCCATCCCTGTGAACTTCACGAAGTCTTGTTTTGCCTCGGACACTTCTCTGGCGTAAAATAGATCTGAGATAATCAAACTTCCAAAAATCTCAACACTTGTCAAATCGATAACTCTTCTTGTACATTGATGACTGGAAACAACTCAGGAACCTATAAACATCAATCAGTAAGTGAAAATTAGTAAATCACTTTATTAATTTCAAACGTTTTCGTGCAATAAATTATTTTATTATCACAGTGGTCCAGATCATTGGATAGTTCTATGAATTATCAAGATGATTTGTGTGAACATTTTCTACAATTATTTTTCAGATACAAACAATTTATGGCACTTTCGTCGGATTGCGAGGAGCTCAAAGCAATTGCTTATTTTGCCTGTAGGTAATTTTGCCCCACTTATATTTGCTGTCTTAACAAGGTCACAAATGTTCGCATGTAGTAATAAAGTATTTTAGTAATTTCAAAAATATAAACATTGAACATTGATATTATATAAAAAAGTAAATAGTTTTGCCCTTATTATTTGGCTAGTAAGAATAGTGATTTGGGTTTTATCATGACTATCTCTGAAAAATATTAAAATAATTTTTGTTTTTTAAGCGAGTCATTATTTGGGTAGAAAGAATAGTGATTTGGGTTTATCATGACTATCTCTGAAAAATATTAAAATAATTTTTGTTTTTTTAAGCGAGTCAGTTTATTTCATTCCATTTTGAGAAGATTGCCACTTCCCAACATGAGAAACACCTGTATTCAATTTCTAGTGATATTTGTTAGAAGTAAAAAAAATAATTTCAGTTAAAGAGTCCTATGGGTTCTAAAAGTTGTGAAGAATATCTGGGCGAATTGTCATGCCACTGTCGGATGGCATCACATACCATCAACCTGTGTTAAGAGCTCTCCCCTCTTGTTTGTGGCCTTGCGCTCATGAGCTTAGCTGGAAGGGGACGGAACTACTTTCAAGAATTTAGATTTATTTTGTCCAAGAAAAAGAACAACAACCGTAAAAACTGTATGTGATGTATGGGGAGAGAAGATCATCTGCGCATGTTTTCAAGAGTTCCAGTATCCCTTCCCATTGTTTTAGTTGATGGATGAGTAAAAGTTAAAGGTAAATAAACAAAAATGAAGTGTAAAAAGCGCAAGATTAGCAATATTTGAAAAACTAGACATTTTCATTACCGAGTTAAAGGGAACTTTTTGCTGTGGTAAACTAACTACAGGTTTGATTTTTCTGAATTGCTAACAAAATAGTCGCTCACATTTACCTCTACTCCTACCACTACAAGCAAAAGGAGAGATCAACAAAACATGCGCATAGTGAAGTTACATTTACGTCCTGAAGCAAAATAAGGGGCCATCTCATCAATTTGCTCAATGTATCAGGGAAACTGGACAAAAACAAGATAGGGTTCTTTGACCCAGCAGCTGAAGTACATTATTTATTACAAGTATATGAAATCTTTTTAAAAAAGGTATATAATACAAATGTAAACTAATTCAGTATATATCGTTTTCTTTCTTTCTTTTTTTTTTAAATTTTTTTTATTTAAGTAAACCTAATTTTTTTTGTTTGATGATCAGTATAGTCTCTAATAGAATAGAAACAGATATGCAGCAGAAAATATTTTACTTTTAACTTAAATTTGTGTACCGACTTCAATTGTTTAATGTCATCTGGCATTGCATTGTAAAGTAAGGTACATGTATTGTTCGTGGATTTCTGGTAGTGAGCTGTTGATACTGACACATGATGGTTCTGATATCTACAACGTATGTTGTAATTATAAATGTCAGTATTGCATGAAAATATGTTCCCACCATTAAGTAAGTCAATTTTGACAAATATTACAGATTTGTAAAAAAAATAGGCAAAGCAATGGTAAGGTTCCAAGCTCAATGAAGAGAGGCTTCACGTAAATGTCATTTTTTTCATTATTCAAATACTTTTCTTTTGCAATCTAAAGGTCTGTGTACTACATGATGAATTTCCCCAGAATATTATGTCATATCTCAGGCGGGAATGCACATTTGCAAAATGCATGCAGGCTGACAGAATTTGAGAGAGTTCTGAATGCATAATATAATGAATTCAATTTACTGTTTAACTCTGTTACTTGTACATTCCATTTGAGGTTTGACTGAATTGAGAGACCTAGAAATTTCTTTTACCTTACCATCAGCTAATTGCATATTGTTCATTTTCAGTGGAGCATGCGATTACTGATTTGAAATTCAAAAATTAATTATTATTTTTTTATTACAAAACCAATTTGAAATTTCAGTTCAAAAATCGTACCATTCATAGTCTCTCTCCCTCCCCCTCCCTCTCTCTCCCTCCCCCTCCCTCTCTCTCCCTCCCATCCCTCTCTCATCCCATCCCCCTCCTCTCTTCCCTCCGCCTCCTCCTCTCCTCCCCTCGCCTCTCTCTCCCTCCCGCTCCTCTGCTCATCCCTCCCCCTATCTCTTCTGCCCTCGCCCCTCTCACTCCTCCTTTCCCTCCCCTCCCTCTGCTCTCCCTGCCCGCTCTCTCCCTCCTCCGCTCTCTCCCTCCCCCTCCCTGCTCTCCCTCCCCCTCCTCCTGC